AAAAAAAAAAAAAAAAAAAAAACCTGTGTGAAGAAAGTGGCCATTCACAGTTTTAAGCTTAGGATAGAAATTACAGAATTATTTTAAATGTAATTTTCTTGCTCTGAAATTAAGTTCTGTGTTATTATGGCCTTATTTTGTTATAGTAGTCTGTGAAAGACTGTTGATTTCTTAAATCAACAGGAGCCTTTACTTTGTTGGAAGCTGTGTCGAGTCCTCTGAGTGAGCTTTATGATTATGCTAGAAATTTTAATCACGCTGAAACTCCTCACTATGAAAATATAAACAACTTCCTACCTTCCGTATTTCATTTTTGCCTGTAGAAGCAAGTTGTTGTTAATCTGTGAGCACTGGTTTATGAGGAAGTGGAAATATCTCACAATATCTTCCTAAATTACTCTGTGGTTTGTTGATGCTACGTGTTCTCCATATCATTTGTTTTCCTCCTGAAACGGAGGGAAATTACATCTCCTGCATATCTAGGTAGGCTGTATAACTAAGTCAGATCAATGCAATGTAGCAGTCCTCCTCTTTCTGTCTTCCCAAGTGTTCTTGGATGCTACAAATTGAGATGATAGAGGCTTGAGATGGGGACCCATCCAGAAAAATAATCTGTGGATTTTGCATTGAGTTATAATTCTCTTATTATTGTTGGTTGTTGCAGCTAGCAATACAAGCCTGGATTAAAACATTCTCTATTTACTGAGAGCACAGTGTCCAACCTATGGAGTGCTCATCCTCTTCCCCACCTTACTCCCAGTGTTGGACTTCTTTTCAAAAATATTGCTTAAGGATATGTCTGTACATGGTTCTCTGAGGAGAACTACTTTAATAAATCACGGGCAGGGTGTTACAGATTATGCACACACCCACACACCAGAAAGATTAAGACTTTTAGGGTAAAAGGTGATTTTAAGACCCTGTTCCACCCAGATTACCCAGGAAAGAAAACCTAAGAATTAATGGAATAGGAATATTCATGAATAGGGGACAGATTTGGACCAAACTGAGAGAGCTGTTGTTTTGAAAAGTACGAGAACCTCTCCTAGAGCTCCGACATCTATTGCACAAGGATGTGGCCAAATTGAGAAGAAGAGAGGACTATTAGGCATTTGGCTCAGGAATCTGCCTCAATAAACTTTAGTCACCTGTCAGGGACAAGATTTGCCCTGGGGGTATCTTACAGGAGCTCCTCACCACTGACAGAGAAACTCCTACTCTAAACATTTCACTTGGCTGAGCAAAGAAATTAATGTTCACTAAATATCTCTTCTCTGCCAGGTGTGTTATGTGCCTTGTGACCTTTACCCTTCATGGTGTAAGTATTGCTGGCCTCATTTTGTTAACTGAGGAAATTAAGACTCAGAAGGATAATTTGCCCAAGAGTCCTCTACTAATAAATGGCAAATAAGGGCCAGGGATTTAGCTCAGTGGTTTCGCCACCTGCTGCTCAAGCGCAAGGACCCAAGTTGGATCCCCGGTACCAATAAATACATAAATAAATAAATAAATAAATAAATAAATGGCAAATAAATTTCAAAGTAGGCTCTTCTGACTAAACACTCTTCTTTCTACTCCCCACAAGATCAGTCTGGGTTCTAGGAGTTAACATATCTTTTTAACTGCTAATAAAAACTTGCATTTCCCCCCAGGTATTTCATGCTTTTTACAATCCATATCACATGAGGATCTCTTGAAATTGTTTTGTGATGATTTGTTTTTCCAGTTTAACCACTTTTTCACTCTCATATAAGAAGAGATAATAGTATGAGCACAGTAGAATTTGTAACCTTTGCTAATTTGTAGAAATTCAACCAGTTTTACTTTACTGTAAACAAATGTTACCACTCCTACACTAATTTTGCATATTCATTAATCTTTTCTCATTGACTGGCATGACATGATACATTCAGCTCATCTCACAAAGCCCACCCAAGGCCTGTTTATCTTTGACCTCAGTATGACTCATATGTCTCCCTTGTGTCCATAAGGGTCTGCCTCTGCCTCGGGTTGTGACTGTACCTAAGGGGATCAGGTTTAAGTCATTCATTTTCCCTCTCTTTCCAAATGAGATGCCAGACTTGAGCTGCATTAGTTCTGTTCTCCCCTACTTTTCTCTCTCAGAAACCTATGCTTTTCTGTTTTTCTGGACCATTTGGGTCTCCCTCACCTCACCTGGTTCTGACATTGGTAGGCCTATCATTGGCCCATCCAACTCTTTCTCCTTAGGCTAGTTCCTTGTTCCCAGCCATCTTTCCCCTCCATGGACTTAGGTTGGCTCTGAGTCCCATTAGAGCAGAAAGGGGTGATCCTGTGATCTGTCTCTTCCAGAAAGAACAAATTAAAGTACAACTGTGCAGTCACCTAATCAACAACCCTATTTTACAATAGCACTTGGACATTTATGAACTGGTAAGTCCAAAGTCAATTTGAAAATTTTTCCATTTTTAATATTCCAGGATATCAGAGTACTAATATAAATTTATGTTCAGCCATGTCTGATGATTTTCTTCCTAAACTCCAAATTATCTTTCTCTTATTAGTTTCATTATCCTTTTTCTTTTCAAACAATTCCTTAGAAGCATTTTGATATATTGTATCTCACATAATTATACAGTTTTGTTTTTTATTTACTTAAGTTTGGAAATATTTTAATCCCAAGAAAGCTGGTAGGGTTTTACAATTGCATTGTTTAAAAGCAACAAGTCTGGGGCCAGGGATTTAGCTCAGTGATTTCGCTGCCTGCTGCGTAAGCTCAAGAACCCGAGTTTGATCCCTGGTACCAAAAAAAGCTACAAGTCTGTACCCAACATAACATCAGAGATAAAATAATTTCTAAATGACACAATTACTATCCAGTCTCCAACTTAATTTATTCAGCCGTTACTCTCATTTATCTATTTCCATTGCTGCTTAAAGCACCTAAGAATTTGAGTTGCAGGAAAGCCACCAAGAAGACACATTTATATTCAGTGCTAAATATGAGTACACAAAAGTGAAGGATCGAGTGTTTCTCACTATCACTTTGCTTTAGTCCCATTTCTTAGTAAAATCATGTTCACTAAAAGATGGCAGTATATTAGAGATAAATAACATTTTCTTAGTTTTCACTGTCACACATTGTCTAGTATGATTTTTTACAAGGTTGTTAGAGTGTTAGAAAGATTCTGATGTAGTTCATAATATGGAAAAAGAGAATTCAGATTTTAATAACATACGCCAATGAAGAAGCAGAAAGGGCTTTCAAAGACTGCTTCTCCCTTCTTCTCTAGCTAAACTACGAAAGTATGGAGATTGTACTTTTTGTAAATGTAATACAATAATCTCTCAGTCATTTGCAATAATAAAAGAAAAAATGGGTTTTTAAAAATCCAAAATGGTGAATAATCTAAAATTTGTCAAATCATGAAGTAAAGTTATTCAAATTTGAGTGTATTTGACACAAGGTATCCTCCTAAATATAGTCTTATCTATTTATTTATTTGGTACCAGGTACCAATCTTAGGACCTTGTGCTTGTGAGGCAGGCGTGGCACACTGAGCTAAATCCCTGGCCCTCACCTGAATATAGTTTTAAAGTAGATTGTATCAGATATATCACAGTGATGCCAAGGCAGAACTTTGATTCTACACGTCAGCTCTCTAAGTTATTAATGGTGGCTTCAAACTGTTATTTCCTCACTAACCTTTGCTTGGTTGGAACCAGGCAAACTGTCCGCTGGAACTGGTTTAGACTGGCTCACTAGGGTAACTATTAAAATTTTTGGATTCCACTGTGATTTTCCAAGACCACCATCAGGAAGAACTAAAGTATAAATACTTACAATTATATAAGTAATATATATAAAGAAATACAGTCCAAAAATCTTCACTTTCTAGTTATTTTACCACTTTTACCATCATACATCCCTTTAAAGTCATTTATGTCTGCTGTATGGTGATACTATAGTGTGTAGTGCTGGTACACATCATTCCCAATTCTGTGTTCAGTGCTGCCTTGTTGGTAGCATAAAACCAGCTGTGTTTGGGAGTATTTACACCACAGCAATTGGTAAATGCCACAAGCTAAGACTTTGATTACTGCTTTGTTGATTTTCTAGAATCAAGAAACTGATCAAGAAAATACATAGTGAACTTGAGAGGTATTGTGACTAGCTTTTACTTTCTGAATAACCCAAAAACTTAAATAACTATCCTTCAGGTATTTGAAAACTGTTATCCATAAGCAAAGACACTGCTCACATCATTGATAAATGAGTAGATTTGTCAGTTGTAGCTATAGTTTAATGAGGAGTTAAGAATTCAGAAAAAGTCAATGAAAGCTTTAGAAGAAAATCAACTGACCATAAGGAAATCACACACATGATAAATCTTGAATCACTTTTATAAGTTGTATGCCACTTATTCTTTATATCAGCAAAATATATTTTAAATGTTTATGTATGCACATAAATACAAGCATATATTGTTTTCATGAGTTAGCCAACTTACCAGCGCAGCACTGATACTCTCTCATTCATTCACATAGCCTCTGTTTATCCATTGGTTACCAACTTATTCCTCTCCTTGACACCCTCACTTTTGATTGGTTAGGACTTGAAACAGTTCTCAGATAAAGGTTGGGAAAGGTAATTCCTTGCTCTTATCTTTGCTGTCTTAGCAGAAGACCATGGGTATTGGTTACAGTGTTTAAGTTGCTCCAATCTTCTTTCTTCTAGTTATGGACTCTGCCTCCCTTACCTTTTTGCCACAGAATGGGAAATGAAACTCGGACTTGATTAATGAGAGTAACTGTGATGGGAAGTGACTATGCAGAGATACAATCAATTAATTTTTGATAAAAAGGTGCTCAGGAAAACTGTTTCTCCTGGTAATGCAAAACTGGATCTGCTGGCAGGTATGTTCTCTACCCTGTAAAGAAAGTATCGCTGCAGGAAAAAATGAGATTACTATGCCAAGAACAGGAAAGACAAGCAGTAATGAGCAGCGGAGTGTGCCTGTCCTGATGGTGTTGAATCTCCACATCCATTCTTCCTATAGTCATGGACTTAGTTTACTACGTTCCTAAGTATAAAGGCCCATCTTTGCATTAAGATGACACATGGTGGCTTTTTTCTTATTTGTAACATTAAAGTTTTGACTAATGCAAAACTCTACAGATAGGCTGTAAATGTACTGAACTGCATGCAAATTTGTGTGATTGTGTTCTAAGGCATTTCTCCCCTGGACAACGGTTCTTGGCTTTCCTCAGATTAAAAAAAAAGACCTATAAAAGCTGACAAGAGTTAATGCAAATCAAAAAAACTGAAAATAAATTGCTTTCTGTGTCAGAATTTGCTCACCAAATACAGCACCAACCAAGTGGTAGTTATATCACTAGAGTATGAATTTGAGTCTTTCTTTGCTTGATGTTTTTAACCTAGATTTCAAGACTTCCTAAGAGTTTTAAACCCCAAAGGCACTTAATTCTCATTTAGTTTCTTCCTTGTTACATTCTTCACATACTAGCCTATTTGTATATGTGTCATATTCTTAGCATATTTCTCAAGAGAGACTAAAATGGGAAGCACTTGTTATTCATTTGACTTAGGAAATTACAGGGAAGATGAACACTTACTGAGAAGTTAATATCTGTATTCCAAAAAATTTTTAAATTAACTTATTTATCTTTAGAAACAACTTTCAAGGAAATAATATCAGGCATTAAATTCAAATTTGATAACTATTTTTCAGATGTTTTAAGATTACTTTCAAAAAGACTTCTAAGAAAGAGGCCAATGAAATTAAGTTATAGTGTGGGAAGAAACTTTATTGGGATCAAATTAAAACTGGACTCAATATGAATGAGAAAACAAAATATAAGAAATCTACCTTGGTCTCTTATAACATGGAAAATACTATTGTTTTCCACTATTAAGTGGAAAATAATTGCATCTGATGAAAAAGCAAAAAAAAGTGTTCCCAATACTATGTATTCAATACCTTTACTTCAGAAAAAGCTAAAGCAATTTCAGAGTATGATTTTTGTCTAAAAAAGTAATTTATTGCTTGGATAAGCATGACACAGGAGGCTTTGCAGGCCCTTCTCACCTGACTGAAGCAATATTGTGTCAGCCTCTGTAAGAGTTTTGGTTGAGTGTACCTATTGCACTAAAGAAATTATTCAAATCTTCTTTAAAATATAATGCACACAATAAAACAATGTAGCAATTTTTTGGAAAATAAATTTGGTTTGAAAAATAACTTGTGGTATATTAAAGTTTTTTAAAACTAAAGAAACTTTCTCATCAGAGCCAATATATAGCATTATAAATATCCTATCAAGGCTAAAGTGAATAAACAATGCTTAAGGCTTTAAGGCTTATTTGTAGATACAACTAGACAGAAACATCAAATTAATGAGTAAATAAAGTCTAATGAGAAGAGTTTAGGAGCTAACTATGAAATTAATGGGGCCATTTTAAGAAGAAATTTATTATATTTAAACTTGTACTATTAGTTCAAATTTAATGTTACCTCTCAAAATCATGAAAGCCATGAAGTTACCAGCTCAGAATGATTAATCAATACAAAGAAATAAATTATATGCTCATTAGACATAGTGGTATGTGCTGGTAATCCCAGCTATTCTGGAAGCTAAGGTAAGAGGATTCCTAGTTTGAGGCCAGGCTGGGCAGTATAGCAAGACCTTATCTCAAAAAAACAAAAACAAAATAAAGTCTGGGGCTCTAGTATCCAGTAAAGCAGTAGGTCCTGGATTCAATCCCCATTTCTGCCAAAAAAGTAAAATCTAACCCAGTCACAATTCTAAGACTGTAGTATATATGTATTTGTTTATTTCTAAGAAAAATCTCTGTAAAGCCTACTTTAGTAAGTCTCGGTTTCCTTCATTAAATTTTCATAGAGAGAAAGTTGATATTAGTATGAATTTATTGACATGAGTGTCCTTTAGTTATTATTCTGATACAGAGAGGGCACTGAAGAGCTGAAGACAATGATAATAAACCCACAGGATCTGAAGTCTGCAAGGTCACTTCCTCCAGAGTGGGGGTATGAATGTAGAACAGATCTTTAAAATGGAGACTGCTTTCAATTATAGTAAGAATGACAGTTTGACAGTTTAAGCATTTTATCCAGAAACATATCTATTCTATAGATAACAAATCAATCACCATATAATTGAGTTTGAAAATACACAAAATATTTGTCATTCTTACACACTAAAATTAAAATCTAATTTTCAAAGTGCACAGTAAAAATGGTGTAAGGGAACCTACAATGTTCATTGTGTATTTCCACTTCACTATCAACATCAAGTTCTGTATTTGCCTTACTGTTTACACATATATTTAAATCCCTTCTTGAAGGCATCTGCAGACCTGTGCAGGGTCAGCCCTGCAGCTTGGGGTGGTAGCTTCAGCTTTGGAAGGAACAATCACTGTCAGATGTTGGTAAAATGTGCATTCTTACTTTTAGAATTCCCCTTGCTGGACATCTTCAGGGTGTTGATCTTCTCCTTCTGTTTAGACTCACTCACCTGGTCCTCCTAACTGCTCTTGGTTGCTGTCAGCTCATCCCCAAGTCTGCTAATGTCTGACTGGCCAAGCTTCATCTCCACTGTCAGTGTCTCCCTAGACTTCTCAGGCAAGGCTAATATTTTAGAGAGTGCTCAGCACTCAACTTAAAAATGCATCGACTTATTGTCAGCCAGCTATGGGTAGGATATGAGCACCCTACTCTTGGCCTGTGGTGATTTTTAATCAAGTCTTCATGAGGTTCCACATCTGGAACCTCACTGTCAGGCAGCTTGGTTAAAAGTTTACACCTATTTAATGGATAGGATAGTTGGGCTATTCAGACTATTAAATCTATATTTGTCTTCGTAAACACCTCTTATTCTATTGACTACAGTACTCCAAACATATGCACAGATAGGTTCACAGGTGACAACCAAGCATGACACAGAAAGCTATGAAGGGAATGTAAACTAATACAACCACTATCAGTATGAGATCAGTCTGGTGATTCCTCAAAAAACTAAAAATAGAAATTCCATTTGACTTAGCTATTCCCCTTCTAAGAATCTTCCTGAGATAGTTAAAGTTATCGTATTACAGTGTTATATCAGTACCCATGTTTATAGCAGCTCAGTTCATACTAGCTAAATCTTGAAAACAGCCTATATGCCCATCAACAGATGAATGGATAAAGAAAATGTGGTATTTATACACAATGAAGTGCTACTTTCCAATAAATAAGGATAAACTTGAGGAATTTGTAGGTAAATGGGTGCACCTCAACACCATAATGTTAAGTGAAATAAATCAGACTCGAGTTTGTATGGTTTCTCTTATATGAGAGACCCAAAATATAAATAAAGGGCAAAATAAAGGATAGATAATAGGAGAAAGGAGATAATAGGAGAAGCAGGGAGATCTTTTTCCAAATGAGAAGAGGACAAGAGATAAAGGGAGTGGGGAGAGAAGTAGAGGCAAAGCAATGTAAAAGAGAGAGAAAATTGAAGAAAAATATGGAAATACAGGTTTTTCAAATGGGAAGGAGAATAAGATTTGAAAGTAGCAGGGAGAGATGGGAGGAGAAGAAGACAAAAATTAAGATAGATTATGTACATGTACAAAGTCCCGACAGTAAATGTAATCATTGTGTATTGCAAACATGTACCAATAAAGAGATAATTTTAATGAAGTAAACATTCAACTTGATACACAAAAGTAAAGAAAGATAGAAAGAATAAAAGAAAGGAAGGAAGGAAGAGAGAGAGAGAGAAAGAAAGAAAGAGAGAGAGAGAGAAAGAAAGAAAGAAAGAAAGAAAGAAAGAAAAAGAAAGAAAGAAAGAAATCTAGCTATGAAGGCCCTGTTTATCAAATGGAAATAATATTTTGCCATCCTGGGTGGAGGGCTCAACTTTGGGTGCAATAAGATTAAAAAATTGGTCCCTGGCTGTTTCTGATGACAAAACTCAGATTTTCATGATAGTTTATTATAACAGAAATACAAATTAACATGACTTTTTCATTTGCATGCTTACGTTTTTGAAAAATCAGAAATAAGCAGTCTGGCCAAACTAATAACCCTGCACTCAGCTTATGAAAAACTCTGAGGGGAGGGAATAAAATCCTCTCTACTAGTCTCTCCTGAAGTATTGCGTTTAGGGATAGCCCTAAGAATCCACTTTCAGGCTTTCTCTTTCTGTTCCTTATTTTGACCCCTCTACCTTTTCTCATTCTTAGGTAGCTGCTAAACTGAAGGCACTTCAGACCGAAGACACAAAGAGCCTGCAGCACAAGAGAATGAGACCCAAATGCTGTGCCAAGTGCAGCTGAACCACAAAGGAGGCCAACTATTTACCACAAGAGTTCAATTTAAAAAATTCTACAGCTTGTTTTAAATTTGTTCTACAGCTTGTTTTTAAATTTCTCAATTCTTCTTTGACAAATTTTCCACCGTCACCTCCCACTGCAAACATTAGAACCATCTTTTCTACTTTCTTCCAAATTTGAAAATGAAAATTTTAAAAGAATACAAGCTAATAGGCACTGAGAGGAAAAGTATGGGTCTCAGAGTCATTTGGGGTAGGTACAGAACATTTAAAGTAGCAGCATAAATCAGCATAAACTAAAGCAGATAATCCCTTTCCTTTGAAAAATATTTTTTAGGGCCGAGGATTTAGCTCAGTGGTTCTGCCACCTGCCTTGAAAGTGCAAGGTCCCAAGTTTGATCCCCAGTGCCAAAAAAAAAGAAAAGAAAAATATTTTTTAAATAACTTTGTTTAATAGACAAGTGATTGACCTTTGATTATAAAAATAATTATGAAACTACCAAATGATTTAGATTGCATGGCATATTACATACAGCTAGATATCTCACAGAAGAAGCACAATTCTAAAGTTCATATGCAAGAATCTGTAATATATAAAGAACTTAAAAAATTAGACCCCCCCATTAGAACACAATAAAAAATGAACTAGCAAAATGAATAGACATTTAATGGAAGAAGTACACATAACCAATAAATAGATGAAGAAATGGTCATCATTGCTGGTCATTAGAGAAATGCAAATTAAAACAACACTGAAGGGCCGGGGATTTAGCTCAGTGGCACTGCACCAGTCTCAGAAGCGCAAGGTCCTGAGTTTGATCCCTGCTACCAGAAAAAAACCAAAAACACAAAACAACACTGAGATTGCATCTTACCCTTAAAAGAATAGCCATCAGCAAGAAATCAAATAATAACAAAGACTGGCAAGTCTTTGGGAAAAAAAGAACATTGTTGATGGGAGTATAAACTAGTACAAGCATTATGGAAATCAGTGTGGAGATTCCTCAAAAAAACTAAACAGAGAAATTCCATTTGACTCAGATATTTCCCTTCTAGGTGTCTTCCCAAAAGAGTTAAAGGCATCATAGTACAGTGATAGATGCATGCCCATGTTTATGGCAGCACGATTTGCAATAGCTAAATCTTGGAAGTGGCCTATATGTCCCTCAACAGATGAATGGGTAAAGAAAACGTGGTATTGGGGATGGAATGTAGCTCAGCAACATCGTGGCTGCCTGGGAAGTCCAAGATCCTGAGTGCAATGCCTGGTACCAGGAAAAAAAAAAAAGAAAGAAACTGGGGTATTTAAACCCAATGGAAAATTATTCTGCTATAAAGAAAGATAAACTTGAATCATTTCTAGGAAAATAGGTGCACCTTGAGACCATAATGTTAAGGGAAATACATCAGACACACAAGCTTAAATATCAAATGGTTTCTCTTACATGAGAAACCCAAATTATTAATAAAAAGCAAACTAAAAGATAGGTAATAGGATGTGGGGAGAAAGATCTTTCTCAGGTGGGAAGGGGGCCAAGAGATAGAGGGAGGAAAGAGAGGAGGGAGAGGGGATGAGAAAAGAAATCAAGATGTGTAATGTATCGCATGTAAACATTAGGTACTGCAAACATGTACTAATAAAAAAGTTATAAGAAAATCTAATGAGCAGGGACTAGCTTTACATAATATTCATCATACCATAAAACTTCTATAATAAAAAAGTTCACTGTGGAAGCATGAACGGAGACCAACGGAACAGAATGCCAAGTCTGGAAATAGATCCAAGTACACATAGAATTTAATAAATGGCTGGGTGTGGTGTATACGCCTGTAATCCCAGCACTCAGCACTCAGGAGGCTGAAGCAGGAGGATCACTGTGAGTTCAAGGCCAGCCTGGGCTTCACAGCGAGTTAAAGGCTAGCCTGAACTGCATAGTGAGATCCTGTCTCAAAAAAAAAAAAAGAAAAGAAAAGAAAAAGGAATTTAGTAAACAATAGAGACAGCAATGTAAATCATGGTGAAAATGATAAATTTTTTAAAAATTACATTCAAATTAGAATTTTGGAAAAAAACAAAGTTAGATTTATACTCTATAGATTAGAGAAATCTCCAAATATATCTGGTATCTAAATGTAGACTTTTAAATTACATAAATACTCAGAACATGGGGAATTAATTTAAAACTTGAGTTTAAGAAAAATCTAATTATTACTTGAAATCTAGAAGCATTAGCAGAAAATGCTTTACTTTATGCAGCCCTTATTGCTGAAGGGATTTCCACACAGTGGAAGGCTGAGCCTATCCTCAGTGTAGGCAAAGTCAGCCAGAGGGGTCTGGGATGAATCCTGCAACTACAGGACCAGCATGCTGACCATCCATGAGCTCTGGGCAAGACTGTCCCCAGCAAGGGCAGCCTATCAGTACTCCTCACAGTGTGGCTCACTTCTTTCAACTAGGATGCTGACCTTTCTTCCCTACCAGGTACTCCATCAAAATCAGAGCCCGTAGTCTGCTTTTCTACCCCAAGTCACCACATGGCAATTACTGCCATCTTCACACCACAAGGCCATATCTTAACCACCAATTCCCCACAGCACAGTTCTTGACTGAGGACCTGTTGATGATATACCAGAACAAGACTGCCAGCAAACTAACTTCTGTTTTTTGTGGGGGGTTTTTGGTATGGGGATCGAACTAGGGACCTTGCACTTGCAAGGCAGGTGCTGGAACCACTGAGCTAAATCCCCGGCCCACTTCTTCTATTCCTTACACTTCTGCCTATACAGTCTTTATCTCCTGATGTGACATGGGCCCTTGTATTGTCTGTCATCTCTAATTACTGCTTGACTGATTCTCCTCAAATGATGACTCCTATTAGTACCAAACTCGGGGCTTCTTTCAAGTTTGGACATTGGTCTACTGCCCTTGTTTCCTCAGCATTATGCCTTCAAAGAAGTCACTCTGCTCAGTGATCTTCTCTATGCAATACTTCTTTCTTCTTACACTTGTCTAGTCCTTGCTGGTAGAACTGGATAGTTCAGCCTGTGTCATCTGACCCTTTGTTTAACTACCAAATTGCTTTTCTTTTCTTTTTTTTTTTTGGTACAGGGGATCGAACTCGGGTCCTTGCGCTTGCGTAGCAGGTGGCGAAACCACTGAGCTAAATCCCCAGCCCCCCAAATTGCTTTTCATTACGCTGTGGTAGACATTATACTGCTTACTTGTATCAGTTCTCTCTTTCCAGAAACTGGATGAATTATGTCTCTCTGCTCATCTTTTATTTAGGTAGTGCTGTCTTAGGTCCAGTTTCTCATAGGTAATCTCTAAGATAAGAATGTGCATGCAAGTGATGTATTTAAGAAAATATTCTCCAAGAAAACTGATAAGGAAGTTAGCTTTCTGTTACTGTAACAAATACCTGAGATACTCAGTTTATAAAGAGAAAGGATTTACTGTGGCTCACAGTTTTAGAGGTTACAGTCTGTGATTAGTTGGTCCCATTCCCTTTGGGCCTGTGGCAAGGCAGTACATCATGGCAGGACTGTGGCTGAAGTCTGTTCACCTTAAGGCTGGGTATGAGAGAAAGAGAAAAGATCTGGTCCCCCAAATCCTCTTCAAGAGCACACCCCCAGTCATTTAAAACTTCTCATTAGACCCCACCTCTTACAGGTTCTACTACCTCCTAGTAGTGTCAAGCTTGGGAATAAGCCTTCAACACACAGATATTGGGGGACATTCCAAATCCAAACTACACAGAAAGTGATAGAAGCAAGGCAGAGAAGGAAATAACACCAAGCAGAAATAATTTCTGGCAAAAGTTCCACAGAAGGTAAGCTTTAGGATAATTCCACAGGAGAATTCTGGAGAGCAAACAATTGCCCGGAATTCTTCCAACCTGAGACAAAGGAGTGGAGCTGCACAAGACATCATGAATCAAGAGCCACTTAGGGGTATGCTAGGCACTTCTGAATGAGCAAAGGGCCTCCAGCAGCTCAAAGCAGGCCACTGAGGTGACACAGGTGCTGGTCATTGAATATAAGTGGACAAAGGATGAAGCCAAGCAGAAATCCGATCAGTTTCAGGTGTCAGGAGTAGTTCTTGTTTATGATTTTTGAATGGAAATGACAGTCAAGGGGAAATTTTATATCTAATGTGTACTCTTCCCACTTTTTTTTTCCTTCAGCCTTGGAAAACCTTAGAAATCTCCCTGCTTCAGACAGTGCAGCACCACAAGATGGTGAACTTTTGTCAGCCTGCATCCTTGAATTATTTCCTTCTGACCTATGTTAGACACATTCAGTGAAAAATCAACTTAACCTTCGTTTCTCATTGTGCACACATTCTCTCCAATCTGACTGATCATATATATAAATGCATTCTTCATTCAGAAATATTTGAGTAAATATTGTATACTAGGCATTTTACCAGAGAGGAAAAAAGAGAAGAAATATTCCTTTTCTTCGTACAGTCCATTGTCACAGTGGAGTCTAAGTAGTGCCAGATAGAGATACATTGTGGATCCAGAATGCTAAATGAACACTGGAGACTCTAAATGAGACAGGAAGGCCAGACAAGGTTTCTTAGAGGGGGATTATATATGAGTTAAATAAATAATAAAAGCATGAGTAGAAATTAGCTAGAATAACTGATAATGTGAAATAGGAAGAAAAGGTCCAATGGAGTAGGGGAAGTGAGAAGGGTAGGGGAAAGGAAAGAAGGGAAAGGAAAAATTATGAGAAAAATTGGAAACAAAGTCTGTAAACAGGAAGGGGTGGAGGGGTTGAAGGGAGGGCAGGGGAATGGGGAAAAAATAAGAACCAAGATACATCATGTAAAGGTACAATTCCCAATAATGAATGTAAGTGTATTGTATACCTAAAATGTACCAATAAAAGAATTTAAGGGGACAAAAAAGAAATTAGCTAGAAAAATAAGGAGCCAGGGGAAGGAAGGTCAGGAAAGGCAGCTAGAACATGATGCAAAGTTCAGGTTCATGAAGCACAGGATGCACTGATGACTCACTAATATATAACAATTTACAAATTAGTATTTTGATATTTTGTTTGTTGTAGCTTGGCCTATCGGACAGGAAGTCAGTTCCATGAGCTAGTTCATTACATAAAACAAATTATTATTTTCTTTCTCAGTGTCCTGTTTACCTACTTCAAAAGATGAAAGTGCTGACCTGCTTCATAGAAATGTTGTTTAATTAATACAAGCCCTTCTCAAACATGAAGAACTAGTACAACTTCTTTGGGAGCTATGCTGCTAAAAGACAACATGGGTTTAAATCTTTAGACTGGAATAAATCTAAAAGAGGACATAATCGTTGGCTTTCTTCCACTAGTATTAAAGGACTTTATAGATCTTTAATGATCTCAGATGAAAGAAAATGGAAAATGTATGATCATTCCATGACAAGGTGGAAACATTTCACAGCAGACAGGAACTTTTTCAGTTACCAGCATTGAAACAGAATTCCAGGAATAAGTACTCAGATGGCCCATTTTACCCTTTTAACTTTAAATGTAAATGATAATAATGATGATGATGATAGCTAGCATCTGATGAGCAAAACTATGTTCTAGAACTATTCTAAATGCTTTTCCATGTATTATTTGCAAAATTTGCTAGACAACTTCATGCCATGTATTTATTCCTGAGTGCTCATGTGGCCCTGAACTCTGTTTCTCTACATCTTTCTTATGCC